TGAAATAACTTTATCTGTGTGTTGCTCTTATATTGACATTTCACGATCACGAACACCACAGATCATTATTTATCTGTTAGTTCGAATGCCCGGCACATTTGAATTTGGCGTGGTTTGAGAACGGGAGCGACTGTTTGATTCTCTCTGGACATCTTATTTGGCTCACTTGTTTGAGTGCTTTTGACCGCATATTTGAGGTTTGCTTTATTGTACATTTTGTAATGATTTCTTTAATTCAGTACCGTAGAACATTGCTGATCAATTGTGTTTTTACTTCGGGATTCGTATCGGTTTGGCTACGCATCAAAGAAGTGCGAATTGGTTGACGTACCCCGCTATAACATCGTACCAGTGAGGCTTCTGGCTTTATGTGCTTTTCCGTGAGCATGAATCTCAACACCAGATGATCACTTTTGCCCAGTGATTCTTCTAGTTTTATTTTGCTTACATTCGACGCGTATCTCGTTATGACTAGGTCCAAGATGGGCGGCCTCCGTTAATCCCTGAGTCTTGTGGCCTGCGTAACGTGCTGTATCAGCGCGGGTGAGTGTATCCATTCCAGTAGGGTTTCCCGTGTAGACCCACTCGTTGCACGCGCTTCCAGCCAGTCGAGCTCCGAGAGGTTGAAATCTCCAACTATTAGAATCCTTTTGGACTTCGAAAGGAACACTTGCATAACCTTGATTAGCTCATTGTCCTATATCGTTGTTGCTTGCGGTGCTCTGTACACACAACATACTTAGTGGTTTTCTACTTAAGAGCACCTTCCATGCTATGGCCTGGATATTAGTTGTGGCTGGGGTGGCTTGTGCATTCCAATGGTTCATATTATACTTGACAAATAGCAACAATCCTCCCTCTTGTCTGCCATCCTCTATACCCTGTCTGCAGACTGCATTATTATCAGCACACGCAACCAGCTTCAAAGCAGGTTCCGTGGAACACAATTCTGCCCGGTAGATACTTTTACAAGCATTGTGACCGATTATTCCGTAATCGACTTGTTTCTCAATTTATTTTCACTGTCGCCCCTCGGTTCTCGTCTGTAGTACAAGCTCAGTAGGTGACATATGTTGACAACTCAGCTGTTTTCTCATATGGAAGGATTTCTCAAAAAGTAGATTGGTCCAGCCAGATTTCGGTTTAGATATTCTTTTGGTGAAAACCTACTGTAGTTTTATCACCCATTATTCTGAAGATCTCAGCCCTATCATCAATTCGCAATTCTTTTCATCCCACACACTCCCGTGGCACATGCTGACAACTCAGCAGTGTTCACCTTCACACCCATTCTAGATCTAGTACACTAGTCAACTTACGTAGCTGATCAGTGGATTGGATATTGTTCTGGTGAAAACGTTTCTTACATATCCAATCTGTTTTTATGCCGTTAGTTATAAATCGGATTTATTCACTTCGCCTTTTTTTGCCATTGCATAGGCTGTCTATTT